GAGAGAGAGAGAGAGAGAGAGAGAGAGAGAGAGAGGCAGGGAAGTGCAACTTGCAACCAACCGATCGTTCGGTCGGCAAAAAGCAATCGGTCGCCCAACGAATTATTTATAGCAAAACGGGGGATGGTGGGAGGATGAGGGCAAAGGGTCACAACACGTGACACCGAAACTATGCCGCGATCGGTATCGTGGCGTGGATGCGCGTCGTCGCGGCCATCCGATCGATCACTATCATCGGTAAGCTCGCGGACGATACCGTCGCGCATGCAAAGTGCATCGATTCCGATGGCGCGGCGACGAAAAAGCGACGGCTACATTACGTAGTGCGTCAGGACGTGACCTTGACCCCTCCGCGGGCACCTTTTCACTGCTTGTCGTATAGGGACCGGTGTCTGTGGTTTATTCCAGGATAAACTGCACCTGCGCACTGCCATCGTTTTCGTCGTGATCGGACGCGGTGTGCCGCGGCGACGGCGGCGGCGGAACTCTGTTTCGGTACTCCTTCGGATCGCGGCGCTGAAGCCGGCTGATCTCGGAGCGAACGACGCGCCTCGACGCCGCTTTAGCGTGCGTCTCAGGCGCGTGCAAATTAACGCAACGCGCTGCGCGAGCGGCGCACATAAGCGTCGCTTTATGTAGAGGACCGAACGCTCCATCCGCTTTAACGATTCCGAAAAGGAGACGCACGCGAGCTCGGCTCCGCTACAGCCCGCCGGGGGAAAATCGCGACGTATCGATGGGGGGATGGAAATCCGCGCGCGACGCCGTAAGGCGCAGGAGTAATACGCTGGAGTGAGAAGGCCGCTTGTGGCCCTGGGAAATTCGATATTAACGACGATCCGATGGCAACCGGCGGGAAGCAGAACAGATCGGAGAAACACGGCGAAGCACACGGTGGCAGCGGCGGCGGTAGACTTCGTTTTCGAGTTTACAGGGAATTAATATAACACGACTATATGCATTATAATGAGTCGGGATGCCGAGGCCGATGAAATGTTTACGGAGCGCGCTTTACGAGAGCGAGCTTTGAAAGGCCAAACAGTCGTTCTGCGACACGCGACACATACATACATACACATACACACGCCTGTACAAACACGCATATCTTCTCGTTGCCGCGCGTCCCGCGGCGCGCACATTATTCGTCATATGTACGGAGTAATGACTTCGCGCAATGATCTGTGGCGTGATTACCATATCGTCGTTCACCGTTTGCGGGTTGTTTACGGTCCTCAAAGTGATTTAAGCATGAACGTTACTTCGAATATACGCGGCGCGCGATACGATCGATGGCGCGCGCGCGCACCTGTGCGAGTGCTTTGTGCTGCTGGAAAAATCAAAGCGGCTGCCGCCTTCCCCCGGCCCCTCCCTTGCGAGATCTCCACCCGGAGAATTTCGTGCATTTTGTGAGCGACATCTCGGGAGTACGCCGCATTCCCGCCAGCTTGAAATAATAATCGTAGAAAGAGATTTCGCTTTCAAAGGAAAACGTAACTTTTACATCCGCCGTCCGCCTCCTCCCCTCTCTCGCGGATCTTCCACGTTGAAAGCGGAATTACGTTTGAGAGACACGAGACACTTTTGCTTGATTTTGAGGTTTACGTGATGGATTTAGAGAAATCCCGCAACGCCCCATGGAATATAGCGTGTAGCGAAGTTTTGCAGGGATATTAAGTGTCGCGTGTCTCCGATACAAAGTTGTCGATTGTGCGCACCTGGTGTTACGTCACGGATATCGATTTGTGATCGTTTTATACCTTGATCAGTCGTTACTGATGCAACAACGATCTCCCTAAACTTCTCGCATTTGCATTTGATCCGCGTTTCCGTGATTTAGTCGCGCACGGTGATTCGTTCGCGTAACACGCGTCTTCGCCGGCCGCGAATTCGCACAGCTGAAACTTACCGTGGCTTTGAAATGTGAAACTCCGATGCAAACCACACCCCACTCGACGGAGCACTTGACGTGCGGTTTCTCTAAATATATGCACACGACGCTTTTCCAGTAGAAATTGAAATACCGCGATAAGAGCTGATTTTACGCGGCGTTATTTTCATCATAAAGGGAGGGAAAGCTTCTTTTTTCTATGAATAAAATCTCGTCAAACAAAAATAGTATAACCGTGAAAAAAAGGCAGCAACGTTACTGTCCGTTAAAAAAAATAGTAACGTACGTTTTATGGAAAGAAAAAGAGGAAAAAGGAGGTTTCACAGGGGATCGCATCGAGATCGATAAAGAGCACATCTATAGCACTGTATGCGTGTCCGGGCCACACATGCTGTTAGTACATATCATAACGGTTAATAACGAGGAAAATGCACGTCTTTCAACGTATAACGCCGCGAACGTATGGAGTTTCCGTGTATACGTCCCCTTTATTCGAATCCTATGCGCGCAGTTCAGAACTACCGGCTAAAGTTACGTACCTTCGGGAAACATGTACGACGGTTTGAAGAAGATCGAAGGGAGAATAGGTTGCCTCCCGCGAGATCCTGAAAGCAACGGAAACGGCGCGTGTTATTGTCCTTTTCCTTCTCTCATACGGTCGCTAGATACTGCCGCGCGCAACTTCACACCGACGTCTGGTCTCTCTTACAGAAAGAATTTTGCAATCATTTGTTTTTTAGGATGAAGGAGAGGAGAAACGGAAGTGATTTCCGCAGGAATACAAGATATACTCCCGCGCGTGTGTGAGCTTCATGAGTTGACGTAGGAGCGAGGGACGACGTTCAATTGTCGAAATTGACGTCAACTCGATAATTACCCGCGAAAAGTCGAAAATAGATGTCGTGCAAGATTGCCGTTACTTTTATCGACCGTTCTTATCTGAGCCGCTAACCCGACTCACTTGCGCTCTATTACGCTATTTTTGGACGGGATTCACGTACGCTTCGCCGCGCTTCTCGTTTTCATCGAGTGCGTCCAATTAAGGGATTTCCTCGAGCACTATGTGGAATACGCGGTTGGTAATCGACATTTTTTGCTTCGACCACTTCGACGCGTAACAGCATGTAATACAGTTCACATGAGCAACTGTAGAATAATGAGCTAAAATAAGGAGTCTGTTCTTTTTCGCTGCGCTCGTTGCACACATTAGCTCGCACTAGTTGTCTCCTCTTCCCTCCCACCGAGTTAAACGTATACCCATTATTTAAATGTATACCCATTTCTCTTGGAGTTCTGCAAGTACATAAATACAGTTTGATGAAAAAGAGCAAACCTAAGATAGATATCGCTTTCATGACGGGATGAGCTGTTTGATTTCTACGTGGATTTTCCAGAAAAAACAGACTACTTATTTTGGCTCAGCACTTTAGTTGCTCGCGTGAGCACGTGGGCTGTATCATACAGTATAACGTTAAAGGGGTTGAAAAACAATATATCTTCGAAAAGGATAAATGAGAGGAGAATTTGGCGCCTGAGAATATCGTGAGACAAAGTGGCCATTTTCAAATCCAAGAGGCGCCGAGCAGTTTTATAGAAGATATCTACTCTTTTGTTTCACACAACGCCTCCACGGGCGCTGATATATGAGTCAAGATAACCCCCTCCCCTTCTTATTCATCCCGATATAGATGACGCTTTCAATTCTACGTTCCACAAAGACTGCACTTAAGTTATCCCATTTTTTATACCAATATATCTTGCGCTACCCTGCGCTGTGTAGCGTGCGTTAGCGCGTTAACATTAAGCGTAATCACGAGGAGACGCTTCGCTGATAGCGCAATTTTTTTTACAGTTTCATCAGACCGTACTGACTTACATGCGGGACAGAGTCTGGGAATTCCATTTTTACGTGGCGAAAGATTGGCCCGAGGACATAATCTGCCTACATTTCCCCGGAATGACATTATCCGTAAGTATAAATTAAACTTCCGTGCGCCGTGATTTGAGAGATTTACAGAGGAAGTCGGCCAGATGCAATCTCAAACAGAAAGCTCCAATCTACTAGCCGGCGTTTATCCGGAACGACGTTCTCCCTTGCGTCACGTATCCTCGCCGTTCAAAAAGTCGTCAGGCCCGAACCCACCTACCAATTCATCTAACTGATTTCACGCTTCCGATCCTATATTCATCTAACTGATTTCACGCTTCCGATCCTCGCGCATGCCTTACCTAGACGACGCGAGGTATCGGAAAGGCGAACCAAGTATCTGAATCGAAACGCGAGTTCGTCGCCAATCACGGCTCACTGCGCGAATAAGCCGTTAATTTGTCAGATATCACGCCAGGTAGCCGAAAAAGCATCCTCGCGTTGCGCGAATGCTGCAAACTCATTATAGTGTTTCCGCTCGCGGCCGCGTTTCTCGATGTAGAGTGCAAGGATGGATTGGCCAATATATACAGGGTGTCTCGCACCAACCGTCGAATATTGAAATGGCAGGTAGTCAAACCGAGACGGAAAGTCCTTGCTATTTTTTAGCACGAGCAATAGTTAACGAATTATCAATTAACCAAGTTCGATATTTAGCGCGCTTTAATTGGCGGACCACAGATGACGCGCCGAAAAAATGCGAACCTCTGGGACTAACTTTTTTGTTTTTAAAAATAAAGTTTTTTTTATTGAAAATAAAATACAGCCGTTACGAGTTCGTTCGGCTAGAGGTATACGCAATGTCTTTATAATTAAAATACAAATTATAGACAATCTTATTCTGGAATTCAGGGCACTGTGTAAAGAAATACTCTAAACTAGCTTCGATGTTTTGATCAATGAGCTCTTGCTATTACTGAGCAGAATGGGGAAGTTAGTTTAAATAGGAATTCATATTTTCTCGACGCGCGCTGCTTGTGCTCCGCCAGTTAGAGTGCGTTAAGCACTCAATGAATTAATAACTCGTTAATTATTGCTCGTATTACAAAGTGACAAAGGACTTTTCGTCTCGGTTTAACCTACACTATCTGTTGAGTGTATGAAGTTGGCACCCCATTTTTTGAAATTTATAATTTTGAAAGTTGTTCCAGATTGTTCTGACTTTGTACCACATTGTTCCAAAGTGATATTGCTTCATTCGAAACGGTTTTCGAATAAAACAAAAAAAATGATTTTTTGAGCTGGCACCCCACTTTTAGAAAATCGAACATTCTGATACCGCAATAGATTGTTCTAGTTGTTCCAAACATTGTTCCAAAAGGACAAACCCGTAAATTGAATTATAAGTCCAAAAATTGGAAAAAATGTTTTTGATCTGGCACCCCATTTTTTGAAAATAAAGCATTCCGATACCGATATAGATTGTTCTAGTTGTTCCAAACATTGTTCCAAAAGCACAAATCAATAAGTTTAATTATAAGCCCGAAAAATTAAAAAAAAGTTTTTTGACAAACAGTCTATCGGACCAAGAGTAAACTTATACTATCTTTCTTGTTCCAACCGAGATCTTTTTGTTCTGAGTTGTTCTAGGCTTAAGAATTATAGTTCTAGAGTATGAGACTCATAAGATCATTCGTTCTCCGAAAATTCGTAAAAAAATCGATTTGACAGTACTCGACGTCAAGAGTAAACACATGCTTCCTTTCTTGTTCCAACCGAGATCTTTTTGTTCTGAGTTGTGTTAGGCTTAAGAATTATAGTTTTAGAGTATGAGACTCGTAGCGTCATCCATCAGAACAATCTGGAACAACTTTCAAAATTATAAATTTCAAAAAGTGGAATGCCAACTTCATACATTCCTATCTGCTACTTTAATGTTTGGCGGTTGGTGTGGAACACCCTGTATATTCTATAGGTTTGGCTTTTCGCCAGACTTTCGTCTTTCCTCGCCGCCACCTTTTCCTCCACCTGCTCCTCTTCCTCCTCTTCCTTCTCTTCTTCCTCCTCGTCCTCCTCATCCATGTTCGTTGTTGCTGATGCGGATTCGCGATTCACCGCTTAACGCCAACCGCTCCGCCAACCGTTTCTCCGCAAGATGATTTCGCCCGCGCTCTTTAGCTAATTACTTATTGCCTCCGCAGTATCATAAATCCGGCGGCCAAATCCGGTTATTAGAGACACGCGTATGAGACACATCTCTGAAAAATACCAACGCGCCACCGCGGCGCAAGAATTATAACGTGTATCCTTTGACATTTAATACCTACTGCATCGTCGATCTACGTTCGTGCTGCGGATTCGATTCCGAGTGTTTTTCGACACGAACGTAAACACGGCTTGCGGCAAACGAGGGTAATCCCGTCGTTCGAACTTAAATATGAGGCGCTTGCGTTCGCGTCAGAGAGAGAGAGAGAGGGAGCAACGTGGGTTAGGGCATTAAATCTATTCCAAGATCCCGTAAATCCGAAGAAAAGTAACGCGCGATCACGGAAATGGCCGTAAAAGTTTTACGAGATCCCACGGTGAATCGTTTCTCACTCATAGCACGTGCTGCTTTTTAATTTCTAATTTTTGAGTAACAACTAATCGCGTGTCTTCCGTCACCTTTTCAGCCGCACGGTCTGTTGTACGAGAGCGTCGGTGTATTCTGCCCGAATGATCGACTGGAGCTGCTTCGCCTTCTCCGAGAGGAGGACGTCCTGATAGACTGGTCGAAACCTTTGTACATTAATTTCGTTCACTACAACATCGCCGAGGAGCTGACGCGTCTTTATGAGAGCACCGGCACCGTGGAGACCATCGTTGGCGACGTCTGCGCGTGCGATAACGTGCAAGAGCAGGGCGAACAGCCGGATGAAGAGTCCAATCGTGACGTTCAGGTGTTGCCTCTCAAGGCCGAGCACGCCGAAGGGATTCACGAGTTGTATCCGGCGAATGACATGGAGTGCCACGAGCTCTTCCTCCGGCTCATCAGGACCCTGCCAGCGGCTGGTGTTTTCGCGAAGGGCAGCTTAGCCGCTTGGATGGTCCAGTCCTATTACGGGGCTATGTTCTCCATGCAGACGAAGCCGGAGTACCGTAGGAAAGGTTACGGGACGAAGCTAGCAAGGTAGGTGGGCTAGTCGGCGTTGGCGTTCGCGATTAATGAAACAGCGAGCTCGGAGTTTCGGTCTCGGTGTAAAACATCCTGCTCCTTTGAAATTTACTTCCACAGCGGATGTTATACAACTGCCACGCATATGTATTATTCGTGATGCGTTGCGCGCCGTAAATTGAGATACGCCGAGCAACGTAATGTAACCGTGTGTATAACCGTGTGTATAACCGTGTGACGCCCATATTCTTGGACTTTCAGGTACCTGACGAAACGCGTAGCCGAGAGAGGCTATTACCCGTTTGTTGTGATACGTCCAGAGAACGAAGCCAGCCAAAGCCTGTACAAGAAGCTGGGCTTCAGACGGCTTTACCAGATCGTACGAATGATCTTCACGCCTTCCACGTGGCAGGACAGCGAGAACGACGCGAGCATACTCAGGGACAACCTGGAGAACGCCGTCAGGCAGCTGACCATCGAGCGGAGGGTGATAACGGCTTTTCACGACCGCGAGATGAAGAGCGAGGAAACGATACGAGATCCCACGGGAGCCGCGAAGGAGGACCAGTCGATCGTCGCTCAGCAGCCCGACAGGGCAGCGAAGGAAGAGGAGGAGGAGGAAGAGGAGGAGGAACTCCTTGAGACCATCGAGGAGCACCCCGAGGAGAGGATAGACGTGGATAACATGACGGATGACAACACGGCGGGCGGAGGAGACGCGCCGCCAGGGGTCGCCGACTGTTGCGACTGCGGGACGGATGCTGCGGCTGGCGACGAATAAGTTCGAGAACGGCTTACGCGATAAACGACGGTCCATAAACGCGCGTTTCGCCCGCTCGAAGACGCGGCTCCTCGTCGCGCTGGCCGTCGAGCTGGTCAACTCGACGGCGAAAAAGCCGCTCTTGGAGCTGATCGACGCAGCTCCCAAGCTGGCAGACGGCCGAGTATTCGAGTAATATAGACACGGTGGTGCACGGAGGCTGTGAGGGTACAGTGCGTTCTCGGGGATATAATACGGCAAAGACTCGCTGTACACCTCTTCTGGCTCGTTACGCGCAACCTTTTGACCTCTCGTCCTCGAGAACGCGAACGTCTTTGAATATTTCTTACGAATAACGTGATAATATTATTCTTCACATCTCGTCGAAGACAAATCAGAGAGAGAGACAGGGGGGGGGGGGGGGGGGGGAAAAA